GGCCACCTTCTACTTTTAATTGGTCTGCTTAGTTTTTGGCAAATAAACAGAAGTTCAGAAGAGGAAAGAAAAGTCAGGTGAGGAATTTCTTCCCTTAGATTGGCATATTGGCAGGTGTATGTCACATTTTCTTCTTTTTTTTTCCTTTTTTTGTTTGTTTGTTTTCAAGACAGAATTTCTCTGTGTATCTTTGGAGCCTGTCCTGGCACTAATTCTGTATACCAGGCTGGCCTCAAACTCATAGATCCATGTGCCTCTGCCTCCCAAGTGCTGTGATTAAAGGTGTGTGCCACCAACGCCCAGCTGTCACATTTTCTTGATTAATGATTGATATGGAAATGCTCATCCAACTGTGTGCAGTTCGACCCCTGAGCAGGTAAGTGATGCTAGGTCCTGGGTTGTATGAAAGTGATTAATGTTTGTTATGGCAGGGCTCACACATTGTGGACAGTGCTACTCATGGGCAGGTGGATGAGCCTAGGTTGAAAAAAAAAAAAAAAGCAAAGGAAGTAAAACATGTAAAACAAGGCAGTCAAAGCTTTTCTCCATGGCCCCCACCTCACTTCCTGACTCTAGGTTCTTGACTTTAGTTCCTGTCTTTGTTACCATGAGATGGATTGTGTAAAACAAACAGGTGCTTTTCTCCTCTAAGTTGCCTTTGCTTTGTATTTTATCACAGAAGTAGAAATCCAAGCTAGAATATTTATAATTCAAGAAGACATTCCAATTTTTTCAAGTACCATCTTGTCTTAGCCTACAGTATATAATTAAACATCTACACTACTATACATTTTACTGCAAAGGTTACATGTTTCTCATACTGCATTTCTTGTGTTATTGTGAGTGTCCTAAAGTTATTGCATTTCATTCATTGTTTTCTGTACTGTATATTTTTATGTCAACCTGACCCAGGCTAAAGTCATTCAAGACAAGGAAACATGGAATTAGGAAGTAACCTCTTTAAGACTGGGCTGTAAGGAAGTCTTGTAGAGCATTTGTTTAAATTATCAGTTGCTGAGGAAGGGCCTAGCCCATTATAAGTGGTGCCACCTGGGTTGGTGATCCCAGCTTTGATGAGAAATCAAGCTGAGCAAGCCTTGGAGAGCAAGCCAGTAAGCAGCTCCCCTCCATGGTCTCTGCATCAGCTCCTGCCTCCAGGTTCCTGCACTGCTTGAGTTCCTGCCTTCACGGATGATGATGAACTGTTATATTGGAGTTGAAATGAAATAAAACCTTGCCTCCTCGAGTTGCTTTTGCCCATGATGGTTTAGGTAACCCTAAACTAAGATGGAAATTGTGTGAATAGTAGGGCGTTGCTGTGACAGCCTGACCATGTTCGGGGGAGGATTTAGAAGGACATTGGAACTTTGGGCAAGAAAAGCTACTGAGTGTTCAAAGATTGGTGAGCTGTTCTGTGGGAATTTGGAGGAGTATTGAGAGAAGCACAAGTGATGGAGGCTTGGCTTGTACCATTCAAGAATGAAGTTTGAGAATTACATAAAGATCAACAGAGTTGTTGTATATGTGCTATTTTGGGTTAAGTTTCTGGTTTTCTAAGCAGCTGGGACTGAAGAATCAGCTGTGATAAATAAGAGACCAGCACCACGGTAATGAAACTTTTGCTTTACTGGGACAATTGAAGCTGGTTAACTGGAGCTGAGACATTAGCAGTGATTAAAAAGAAATGAGCATCCCTGAGGTGAAATCTCCTTAGAAGTGTTTCCTGAGAGTCAACAGACAGAAGCTATGTTGCAAAGGTGATCAAAGGTTGTACCTTACTCTAGCCGCTGAATTTGGTAATGTAAGAATTTTGAAGGCATGAAGGAATTATGGAAGGCAGCTGAGGTTTGCCCCTGTGAGAGGCCAGGAGGCCATTAGTGAAGGTTCAGCCACAGTGACTGTTGCATACCCAGGATTAAGTGGGTCAATCAGAGTATTTGAGGTTTGGGAACATGAAGAGATTCTAGGAGAGGCTATAAGTGAAAAGTGCAGCCTGGTTTTAGCAATAGACCCCAGCATTTTGGAAATGCCAGTACCATGGGATGACCACCAAGAATAGCAGCAGCTGTGGAGCAGAGACTACCTGTGCTTAGAAGAGAAGTTGTTCTTGCTGCAGAAGAGTACCGAGCCTGAGAAGTGAAACTAGACACTTGGAGGATCCCAGAAGACCATAAGTGAATCATGTATATTAGATGTTCAGTTTGGTTGTACTGACTATGACTGTGTCCTGGTTCTTCCTCCTTGAAATAAGAAAGTATTAACCTTATTTTTTATTTACTAGAACCTCATAGCTGAGGGACTTTTGGTTTTAGTAAAGAGAGTTTGGATGTTAAAAGAGGCTTTGGGATTTTTAAAAAGGTTGATTTTTAAAAATATTATATTCTTATTTTATTTGCATTGGTGTTTTGCCTGAAAATATATCTATATGTGTGTTAGGTCTTAGCGTTACAGACAGTTATTAGCTGCCATATAGGTGCTGGGAATTGAAAACACATCCTCTGGAAAAGCAGTCAATGCTCTTAACCACTGAGCAATCTCTCCAGCCCTGAAGGCTGAATTTTTAAGGTGGATTTGTAAGATCATGGACCTTTTAAGGTTTGTAAAATGTTTTATGTTGTGATGTTATATTAATGTGTGGTCTTGGGGGTGAACAAGAAAGGAAAGATTATGACTTTACAGTGATGTGAGTGTGTGTCAAGTTAACAAGGAGTCAATTGTACTGGATAGTTTTATGTCAACTTGACACAAGTTAGTCATTTGAGAGAAGGGAACCTCAATTAAGAAAATATCTCTGTAAGATTTGTTTGTAGGCAAATCTCTAGGGTGCCTTCATTAATGGTAGAGCTCACCCCTTAGTGGGTGGTGTCATCCTTGGGCTGGTGGTCCTGGGTTTTCTAGGAAAGCAGGCTAAATTAGCCAGTGGGAGCAAGCCAGTAAGCAGCAATCTCCTCTCCCTCATGGCCTCCGCATCAGCTCCTACCTATAGGTTCCTGGCCTGTTTAAGTTTCATCTTTCAATCCCTTTGAAGATGAACTGTTATATGAGAATGTGAATGAAATAAACACTTTCTACCCAGGTTTATTTTGGTCATGGTGTTTCCCCACAGCAATGGTAACTCTAAATTAAGTTTTCCAAGTTGGATTCTGGCTTATATCAAATCTTTAGTAAATCACTGAATGAATAAATAGAAAGTGATATTTCACTGTTTATATGTGGCAATAATTTGAGTTTATACTGATTGAGATTATTGAAAACATTTCTTTCTTTGTTGTTGTTGTTGTTTGAGATAGCGTTTCTTGGTGTTGACTTCTCTGGCCTCACACTCACAGTGATCTGCCTGCCTCTGCCTCCTGATAGCTGGGATTAAAGGCATGTGCCACCACCACCAAGCCTTGCAACACATTTCTAAGAGAGAAAGTTTGTATGGTGTTAGGTTAATCTTACATAGTTTTGTGATTGTTTTAGGTTTTTATTGGATTTTGCAAGGCAATAGCATTCCTTTTAGCATGATGGGCTTGTTTAGACAATACTACATGAATGTAGTCTTTGCTTAGTTCTTAAGAAGTTGATATGAACAAAATGTCTTAATGTTTGAAAACACCTTTCTTTTCTTAGAACTATCATTTGCTTTCCAAGAATACAGTAGAAAGTGGCAGTTCCTGTGGTAGAGTCAATTGCTTTGGGTACTGATGTACGCCTGTATAGAAGCACAATTATGTGGAAACTTTGGATTCATTCAGAAGTCATAATTATAATGTGTATGGGATTACACTGGCTGTCCTTACCAGATCTGTCCATTGCATGCAAACTCATCTGCCTTATCAGTTCCATCAGAAATTGTTAATCCATCTCTTTTTTGTCTTTTAAGTTACCCTACAATAAATTTCACAGTTTTACTATATCTCAGTGCTCCTACCTCACCATAACTTACATAGATTTCCCAAATTTTTCATTATTTTAAAAAATCCGAAACTACTTAATAGTTAAATCTTTTTTTAAAAATAATGGGGTTTTCTATTTAGTAGTCTATATAAGGATACACAGTAAAATTATTTCTTTCTTAGTTTGTATTGAAATGAAAACTCACCTTGGGATTCTTTTTAAAGTTCTCATGAAGAATACAATATTGTCTTTATTTGGGCATTAAATCTATGTGTGTTATAAGAAGTAAATTGTCACTGAGAGTTAAATTTTCATTTAAGGTATGGAGTTTCTTCTCCAAATTTGTCATAAATATCATCAAACTAATGAAACATACCACAGTCAAAACTAAATAATTCAACAGAATCATTAAGAAGTAAATTTGTAAAACTATTCATGAATCCCATTTAAACCTTAATCATATCTTCTATGAAAATTATTTGAAATAGTTGTTATTTATAGTTATTTATGCCTACTTTTACTAAATCAAACTATGGTGACTTATGGTAATGGCTCAATGCATAAAGTCCTTACCTTACAGGAATAAAGACAAACCTGAGTTCAGATCCCCACTACCCATATAAATAGCTGGGCACAGCAGTACCTTCCAGTAACCTTAGTTCTGCAAGTGTGGGAAAAGGTGGATCAGGGATTTACTGGACAGCCACGCTCACTGGACTAAGACATATTCCAGATTCAGTAAGACAAAGACAAATACATCCATATACATACATACATATGCATAGAGTTACAATACACACCCACAGCCACATGTGTGCACACACATACACACATATACACAAGACTGATCAGTCTTATGAAGAGCACAATATCTCAACATCTTGAAATATTTGAACCACCCAGATACAAAATATTTTTTATAGTGAGAGTGAGAATGAGCAAATAAAGTTTCAGGATTGAGGAGAATATCTGTTATAATTCACAATTCCTGGTTTGAAAAACATGTTTGGCAAATCCATGATTTTATCATTACCTATCACATAATGAATATACTGGATTGTGTGATCTGTTCTAAAGGTTTTACTTTGGACATCTTTTTCTTTCCCTATTTTTCCCAGCTGTAAGCACAAGATGTACCTTGAAAGGCTGCCAAATACCAGCATCATTATCCCATTTCACAATGAAGGCTGGACCTCACTCCTACGGACCATACACAGTATAATTAACCGAACCCCAGAGAGTCTGATAGTGGAAATCATTCTAGTCGATGACTTCAGTGATAGAGGTAAGCTGCACTTGTAGTATTTTATCTGAGTCTGTAATTGCACATACTTGTGAAAAGTGAAAGATGGTGAGATGGCCTTTTTTTCATCCCATCAGAAAGATGATCATGATGTTTTATGTGTGTTGTAACTGCAGAAAAAAATGTTGGCCAATTGCAAAAGGAACACAATGAGAAGCTACTAGCTTTGTAGGTGTTGTTGGTAATAAATTTACATTGCATTCTATTGAAAATCAGACATCACAAGGGAAAATAACTCAAGCTCTGCTTCCAGGCATGATAAACCTGGAAACTATGTTGTTAAAGGCACATGCTAATAGAGGGTTATTCTAGGAAGTCTCCAAAGTGTGTTTCTATTTCTGAATAGTATTGTGCTTTGTTGTTTACCAGTTTGAAGCATTCTTCAGGGTATGCTTGTATGACTTCACAAAAAATACAAGTTACAAGGGATACAAATAAATATTTATACTTGTGATTTCATGTTTTTATCATGTCTGAGCATCACAGAAACAATTTGTTATAGCAGCATAAAAGAAAACCTGACACAATATTCATGATTACCATCTAGGTGAAACACAGTTTGACTCATAAGGCAGGGTGTCAAATTATAAAATGTTTGTTGAGTGTTGGAATTCTTAAATTAGAGTTGGTTGAAATAGGGAATTAACAATGATGAGGTAGGAAAGCACATCTTGATGTTAATAAAATGATGAGGAAGAGGTTTGAAGATATTCATGTATTTGTGAATATAGATTTCCATATCATAGTTTACTGCATACAGGTGCTTTAATCAACATGATATCTGCAAGAAAGTGTAGCCATAGATTATCTGTGTCTGTATTATTATTTCATCTCAGAAGAAAACCCATCCTGAAATCATAAGGCTGAAGTGTTGTTCTGGAAATTGCATCTACAACAAAGCACAATATTTTTTGAAGCATTTAAAAGTTACATAGATGAGTACTTTTCAGGCTAGATTGAGAAGGATTGACTTGAAATACTGATGAGAGGATTGCTGAAGATCAATAGGTTGTGGGCTTTATATGTCAAAAGTGAGCAAAATCAATATTATTCTTTTCTGGTGAAAGTGGCCACTTTGGTCATTTCTGTTGGGTTTTCCAGAGGTTTCTCCATTCTGTTGCTTAGGATCAGTATACACTTGATACTATCTCGGAATAAAATCCAATGTATAAAACTGCAATAGTCAGATATCTCTAAAAATTAAATAGCACAATATTTCATTTTTATTATAATTAATGTTAAAAGTTTTAAAGTAGCCATATTTATCTCAGATAAACATAAGCATTTAAATAAATCTAAAACTTTGTTTCTAAAAAGTAAAATTACAATAAAATCCAGGGTTGCAGATCACCAAACGAATGGTCTTTAAGGTTGGCTGGTCACAGATGATATTAGGCAGTGTATGTGTGGGTGATTTTCTGCATAATAAACTTTGTCGTGGTAAACTGTTTATTATGTTAGAATTTTTACCCTGTGGTACTAAACTAGGAAATGCATGACAGTAAAATAATGTGACTTTTGAGCATAGTTTGCAGAATATGTTCAGACACATTTCAATTGAAATGCTAAAATGAAGGGAATCAATGGTATCTAAATTTTTAGCTCCAAATTAACCTTGTCTTTGGTGCAGTAGTTACTTTAAAGTACCCACTTTTCTACTGTTAGTATGATTAGTGGTACAGATGTCAAGCAACAGAAACAGGGCCAGTTAGGACAGCATCGGTGACCTTTTTCTTCATAACTGGACATTCAGAGATTTCACTTAATAGTCTATTCATTCTATTACTTTTTATTTTTAGACTATCTATTTTTATTTTTTTTGGACTATTTTATCACAGCCCTTCCCCTTTCTTCAGTTTTACCCAAATGTGTCCCACCCCTACCCAGTCAATTTTATGTTCTCCTGTCTCACTCTCTCTTCATCTCTCAAAAAAAAAGTAGCAATGGCAATACAACAAAATGTGAAAATCCAGAACAAACAAACAAGCAAACTTAATAAGACAAAACGAAAACCAAGACAAAAGTCACACTTAAAAGACAAAGAGTCTATTTTGTTCTTGCCCACTATTCCTGAGTATGGGGCCTGCCCTTGGCTGTGGTTGATATACCCAGTAGCTCTCAATGGAAAAAATCTAGCTATAAGCCACATTTTGAAATGAAATGCAAAACTAAATGTTGAAAGAAATGAATGACAAAAATGCTTCTATAATCTTACATTTTACACTTATGAAATTATATGAAATAGGAAAATGCCTTTTTCCATATTTTTGTTTGGGATTATGATATCTTTTAAAATTATTTTGGTATATATTATAATCCTGTATTACATACTGTAATCTTACTATCAACATTGAGTACATCAGTTAACTTTTCAGAGCCACACCCATTCTATCAAAGGGAGAGAATGGTATGTCTCCTCATGTAAGTTATGATGAAGGTGTGTCATGAGTGGTCACATGACCGGGTGAAGCATGGAATAAACACCTGAGCCATTGACTACATCTGTTTGCTTGTATCATGTACTCCCAAATAACTCTAAAATGGTCTCCATTCTTTTGCATATATTTGTAATTTCATCAAATATACTCCATAAAGCTGATATTTATCTACCTATCTCTCTATTCATCTCTCATCTAGCTATTTCCAGAAACAATTTATTTGGAACACATATGATGACTAATTATGGTAATTCATAAGTTTTGGAAACTTTTGGAGCACCTAAACAGAAAATATTATCCATATGAGACTACTAATATGTAGACAGGAGCTACTTCTATCACTCTTTGAACTTGATATATCTATATTACAGACATTCCATTAATGCTATTATTATATGATTAATAGCATACAGATAATATATGTATATATATATATATATATATGATATATCAGCATCCCTTAGCTTTTTTATAATTTCATAAACTACAACCTTATGTTATTTTTTTTACAAACTCTTTAAAACTCAGAAAAAGTAAGCTAGACAAATTTAAAATTTGTAAAGATATAGGGTATCTGCTGGTTTCCTGGAGGAAATTATTTCTGAAATTTTACACTTTATTTACAGTAATACATTCCAGTCCTAGTTCCTTTCCATATGCAACCTCACTGCTAACCAGCATACATCTTCTGGATATTCTGCAATGTCCTTCAGCCAAAGGCAATAAAAGTTTGACAAGACTTAATCAAAATTCCCTGCCCTATATATTAGGTGCTCACTGTCAATAGAATAGTGACATATAACAAAAAATGAAGGATGGCAATATTTTAGCTATGTTCATAGTTCATGTATATCAATTGGATACTCCTGTTTCTAATGCATACATGTATTACAATAATTGGCAAATTCTGTTATAAAGAAAACACTAAAATATCATGTAGTTATGAATAATTCTGCTTTATTAGTGTATGGTTTTCTCAAAATCCTGCCCAAGTAGGATTGACCTAGTTCTCAAAAGTTATTTTTTCAAGTCAGTAGCCCACCCAGGAGTTCTCAGTTCAGGAACTCTTTGCAAAGCAAGACTGGTGAAAAATCTTTTGTTTTCATCTCAGAAAATAAGCATACTATCTCTAAAATGTTGCATTGGAGGCCTGCAGGTAAACTTTCAAACAACCCCTGCTCTGGTTTTACTATTTAATTCTCATCTTCCTGTAGTGAGCGAGTGTGTAGCTTTGTCCCAACCAAGCTCCTAGAAATACGTTTTACAACTTAACTGGAGGCCTATAACAAGGTTTCATGATGGCTTTAAAGCAGGAGTAATCCTGGGCTTATCTCCAAATTCCAGGCAACCTTAGCAGCATCCCCATGGAAACTGTTAAAATGTGTGAAATAAGCTGGGGCTTATCCTCAGAGATTGAGTGTGTTTGAACCTGACAATTCTGTAAACTTCATATTCTCACAAGTTCAAGTTAGGGGTAGTCACATGAGGACCACAGACACATTTCTGTCAACATAACATACGTGGAAAGGTTTCACTGTGCATGTAGGAATACACACAAAAGCGCAGCTACACATACACACACTTAAATGTCAATGCCCTTGCTTGTTTCCAGCTTCTTTGTGAACCCAGGTAGATATCTCCCATTTGTGTTTCACAGAGAACTATTTTTCTCTGTGTGCTGGATGAGAGGAAAGAACACAGACATCAACTGCTTTTACAGGATGGCAATTATGGCAAATTTGAAGAAATCCAACTTACTCTTCCTCTGGTTCTCTAGAGTGTTGTGGGACATTTGTTTACACTATATGAAGATGTGTCTGAGTTTTGCCTCACCTGCCTAAGGCACCTGATTGTTTTAATAAAGAGCCGAATGGCCAGTTGCTAGGCAGGAGCAGATAGGAACAGTGGGAAGAAGAGAGGCAGGTTTTCACCAGCCAGACATGGAGGGAGGTGAGAATTCAGAATGGAGGAGAGGTAAAGAGCCTTGCAACAGAATGTGGATTAATAGAAAGAGGTCCATTTAAGTTACAAGAGCTAGTTGGGAACAACCCTAAGCTAAGGCCAAGCTTTCATAATGAATAAGAAATCTCTGTGTGATTATTTGGGGACTGGTGGTCCAAAGAGAGTTCGACAAGAAAGACATGCTACACTAGACTGTTGCTGCCAAAAGTGTGACCTATGGCTTAGCAGCTTCACCATAATCTTTAAGCTTTGTAGAAACACAAGATCTCAGGTCTTTAAATGAATTAAACTCTTACTTTCTTTCTTTTTTTTTTTTTTTTTTTTTTTTTTTTTTTTTTTGAGCCTATCCTGGCACTCGCTCTGGAGACCAGGGCGGCCTCAAACTCACAGAGATCCGCCTGCCTCTGCCTCTGGAGTGCTGGGATTAAAGGTGTGTGCCACCAACGCCCAGCCTAAACTCTTAATTCAATCAGTGCAATTTCACATTAATTAAGGTATGAATCACTGTCTTGAGTCTCAAGTTTAAAACTGAAACCCCATTGATAACATGGACGAATTAATAACATCCCTTTCAAAAGGTCT